AAAGAAAAAGAGTTGGATTACTATCGGATGTGATTGAATGGCCCGTCCCACCTCTGTGTGACCCCCTCACCTTGAAAGCATTAAAATAAAAAGGGCTTTGGCAGGCGAAAGAAACTAAAATACAAAAGCCTTAATGACCTTGACATGCAGAGGCTGAGGTTACAAAAGGTCATGTTCATGTCTGAAATTGTCTGTGATTAAATGCACCGCTGCCCCCGAGTTCAGCCGTACGTGTCCCGTGCTGGAGACGTCTTTTATTCTTCCCTTTTCCGCCTTTTTATCTCCACAACCACTGAATGGACGGACTCCAGTAGTACGAGTTCCATAATGACGGCTGTGCATGGCAAAACAATTGCAGCCTGTCCGGTGCATAATAGACGGGTGGAAAGTGTAAGCACTCTGTTCCCTCCATGTAATCAATGGTGCGGCGGTTGGCTCGCTCCCCTCGACACACGCCCAGGCGGTGCCATAAAGGGTGTTTATTAGGCTGACAAGTTGACACTGCAGCTCCTTGTCATGCTCTGATAATAGGGGCCAGGCGCAGACCAGCGGAAGCCCAGCTTCAGCTGGTTAGGAGACAGACAACCGCTTCAGGGGCGGCCGATAAGAAAGGAGAGGAAGTAAGAGAGGAGAAGAAAAGGAAGGAGGAGCGGGGACGGGGGGGGGTGTATTGGTGTAGCTAATCCGTGTTTTATGAGTGGAAGAAAGAAGAGGAGGCGAGGAGGGGAAGAAGAAATGAGTGAGGTGGAGCTGAGCGAGGAGAGAGATGAATAGAACGGAGGCCGGTTGCGCAATCAGCGCTTGAGAGTTGACATGACAAAGATTATGTAAAACGAAAAGGCTGATATTTCTACTTGACTGACACTTAAAGACATTCTCTCCATTGTAGGCTGTTTGTTTGCTTAAACAAGTTTCTCAGGCTTCTGTGTTTTGGGCCCATAGAGCTCACACACAGCGACTCCCTTCATGCATCGATGGTATGGAATCATTTACCGATACGGCTCAGACCTCATTTGGCTTTTGGACTTAAAGAATCACGTTCTGTGGATACATCATTTTACATTCCAACTACCGACAGCTCACAACCCAACGCCGGTAAATACTTTTAATGACATTCCTGCTGTTTTTCGCACTGAACTTCTCTCTTGCTTGTTCTCTATTTCTCAACTCTAGTCTTTTCCGTCGTTCTCCTGTAATGAGTTGCTCTACATTCACCGTGAGCCCAGAACAGATGCAAGCTATAAATCAGCTAATCAATGGCACCAAAGTTGGTCCCTTCACAATATTGTAGGAAAACGGCTTCAATGAGCTCCATTGATTCAGCCTCCCAAATCGTTATTCCTCCTAGAAAGGCCGACCTTGAAGGACGGCAAGGTTGATATTTGTCACTCCACACACAATTAAACCACGGTAGAAGTTTTCTGCTCATTGATTTTTGTTGCGTATTTCAATATTGTAGTCTACCCGCGACCTTGACAATTATCTTACTCCCAAAACCAGGCCGAATGAAGACGATGAGCACATTTCCTGCCAATTCAACATAAAATAGTTCAACACACATTTTTCAAAGGGTCAGATCTTTTTGAGTCAGCTCCACAGAGGGAACTTCCCCGCACCATTGTGTCATCCGGGGACAAGAGGACGGCGCCAGAGAAAGTGCTGCAAAAAAAAAGCTATTTTAATTATTGCTGGCAGATTTACTCGCCCAGCTGGGTTTAAAGCAGAGGCGGGGGGGGGGGGGCACCGCGGCCGCCGTTTAAATGACTCATGCCAGTCAGGGTTCAAAAAGAGCCCCCGGAGAGAAGGGAAGGAAATTAAGGTGGGCAGTCGGAGGCTGTCCCGTAATGAGGACAAATAGCCTCAGAGGGAAACGTGCATAGTGCAATACTTTCAGGTCATGGGACGTTTCAGCTTCACCGTGCAACCTTCGGGAGAGGGGGGAGGCGAGGGAGGAGGCGAGGGAGGAGGCGAGGGGATGAGATGACAACAACAAAATATAAATGTTTTATTGCATATTCTTTTATGACCACGATTACATTGTATTGTTGAAGTCACAGGACGTTTTATCTCCGCACGGCTGTCGCTGAAAACCAACCCGTTGAGCAATGCGTCTCCATGGTTACACACTGAAGCTCGCGTCAATTGTCAGTGGTAAAGGGAAAATCTTCAATACCCTGCTTAGTTTGTTGCTCCTGTGTAAATTTGCGATGGCTCTAATACGCCCTCTCATATAAAATCCCTTTTAAACTTCTTCTCCTCAACGGTTGTTCTGCATTAGACGACGCGCTGTCTGGAATGACCTCACACAGTCGGTGTTATGTCTGACAAATATACTCATTGCTTGACATTTCATTCAAAAGTTTGTATCATTTACAATCAGCTCCCTTTCAAAATTGGCAATTAAAGGTCTGTGCCAGTGCACTTCTCCGGATGACTCCGTCCACGACGGAGAGGAAGCGACCATTTCTCATTCAATACAGTGTGAGTCTGTGTCTTCCCTGAGAAAAAGATGTCTAATTATGATAAGATTAATTGAATGTAGCTTTTTCCCGTAATTGAAGGCAAATTGGATTGTTAGATCATTTAAAATGTAGCTGTGATAAACAAGGTTTACTTTCACATTTTATGGACACAAAGCCACAATCATGGGTTCCCTTCATGTGCTCAACTAATGGTGGTCATTTAAAAAAAATCAAATCTTCATCATTTCATCATCCTCACATAATCTATTTCGCGGGGACCTAAGAGTGGCGAATCCTAACCTTGTATTAATGTTTTGCTGTAATTCATTAGCTTGGTAGCCGTTCCTGTGGGCGCACCCTGCTCGGCCTCAGCATGGTTGCGTGGGTGAGCGTGGCTTCGCCGCGATGCTGCTGGCCGTCAAAAGCCCAGAGTACACGCGCAAAGTGCCGCACATGCCGCAGCTGCTCGCCGACTGGTGCGCCGTCACATGATTGCGGGCGCGGACGCGTCGCTCTTGTTTTTCTCAATTCTCGCGTTTGGATGGTGTGAAAATCAACCGGCCGTCTTCTTTTGGAGCTTTGGACGTTGCCTCACCTCCCACGCGTCTCATCGGCTTCTCTCCTTCCGTCTCATTCAAACTCTCCGATGTCCCCGGGAGTGAACGGGGGATGTATTGATAGCTGTGAAAATAATGGTGCCCCCATCTCACACACACACACTCACACACACTCTCTCTCTCTCACCTGGGGCAGCAGATGTGGTGTTTGAATGCATGTCGTCAGTGTCACTTATTCCATCTCTTTGTGTCTCGTAATGGAAGCTATAATTAATTATCCCCATCTGTAAATTCCCTTATTTATTTTGCATCCCAGAGTTATTTCAGAGGCTCTCCTTTATCCGTTGTAACTGAACAAAACCAAGACCAGGAGATTGAATAAGAGATTTGCTCTCAGTGCCGTAATGAGTGCAGAAGAACAGATGCCATTTAGTCTGATAAATCCTTAAAAAACAAGCAAGCAGAACGCCGTACACCTTCAAAGTTGTACGTGTATGGAGGTGGAGGATTTCCTCTGACAACGTGTCCTCCCTGCTTCCCGTCGGCTGTGGTGTCATCGCAGCACTCTTAGAACCGCTTCGACCACGGCGGTTCTACCTTCTTGGACATCTTGCTCACCGACCCATCGACTCACACGCTTGGGACGCGTCGGTGTGCTAAATATGGAACGCTGCCTTGATTTCCTTTGCTTCTCCTGTTTGTAGCCGGTTACCTGCAGATGTAACATGCCTGTGTTCCTTCCTGAAAGCCCCTCTGAATGTTGGGACACCATTAAATGAAAACACACCCTGTTCTCGCTGCGCTAGATGAGGTGTTTCTTCTCGCTTTACTTTCCAAAGCCCTGCAGTCATTTTTTTTGCTCTCTATCCTTGTGAATACTTCAGTCGCAGCTTTTCTTTTGATGTGTTTGGTTCTAGCCGTGTTTTACTGGCGATAAGAGATAAACGTTTAATTCAGAATCGAATCTTGACCTCGAGTTTCAGAGGCAACGGCGTACATTTATTAACAAAGTAAACCAAACCACTTCCCTCTGCAAGCTGAAAAGAAGCAGGATAGTTTTTATCTCACTCGGAAACATGGAGGCACAGAGTGAACATGAGAGTGGAGCTTTACAGTTTGACCTCAGGCTCAGTTGAAACCACTCAGAGAGATTAATAACTGTGTGTGTGTGTGTGTGTGTGTGTGTGTGTGTGTGTATATATAAAAGCCCACATGCAGTATGTGACAGAAGCGTTTTAAAACAATGTTCCATAAATGCTTGAACCCGACCAAACACTGATATTAAGTCTTAAGTGCTGCAACAATATGGCTGCCTAATTAGGATGATGAGAGGAGCTCATAACACAAGTGCCTTACGCACAGGAAACATTCTGCCTAACGCGCACACACACACACACACACACACATGCGCTTGCATCCACTGACTCTATCAAGAATCCTAATCAAGTGCTGGCTCATGTCTCAAGTATAAAATGAGTCATTTGTGTTGTCCTTCAAAGCCACTGAGAATACTAATGAACCCATGTTTGCTTGCAGTGTTGTCACAAAGAGCTGTCAAACATGTTCAAAGTGGATCATAACGTCCTTGAATCTTTTTTACTATCAGTACCAATGAGTTCGATTATTGGAATTGAGGCCACAATTTAGCAATGACTTCAAGTAAAATACACAGGTTATTAAGTTTGAGCTGAGCCGCTCGGAACGAATCAAGCGGCTTTATGTTGAATACTCTAGATCCACCGTGTGATACTAAATGCGTTATCACACGCATTTTTATGTATGTATTGTGCACATGGGGGTGGGGGAGCAGTTACAGGACTCACTGTAGGACCGAGACATGACGCCCAGTTTTGAATCTTTCTTTTAATCATGTCATGTTTTTGCAACAGAAGACATTTAGTTTCATTTGGTTATTCAGTGTTTCTCTCCAAAGCCTCCCCATGTTTTAAACATCTACACCCTCTCTGCTTTATGTTGACAGCCGCAGCTCGGAAGACCAACACTAAAAGGATCAACTGCGGTTGGAGCCCTCAAGGTTTGTTGCATATTCAGATGCCTCAGCACACCTTTGTGCATATATGTGTGTGTGTGTGTGTGTCCCTATATGCATGAGAGTGTATGCAGGGCAAAATGTGCAAGAATGTATCCGCACACAGCAAAGAGAAGACAAGAAAAGAGTCATTGACTTTGCTTTTGTGGCCGAGGCCGCTGCATACCTTCTTTCTGGTGATCTTCAATGTCTACTGAAACTCTTCTACATTAGTGCAGCTTGGGGATCCTGTGTGGAGCTCAGATAGGCATTTCAGTCCCCCCCCCCCCGGATAAGCCGAGGCCCATTTGCTATCTGTCTGTTTCCCTGGTTACCCCCTTTAGCCACATTAGAGCACATATTTTGGGAGCCGCTCCAATCACTGTGCGCTACATATCTCAGTGATCTAAAGACTCCATTACTCTTCCTGCAAGAGGTTTACTGTGTAGCCGACTGCGTTGAGGCAATGCATTAACGTCCCACTCCCGCAGCAGTATCTGTACTAACTTTGTGTGCCACCTTCCCAGTCGGCACTCAGCGAGGCACGAGGTGCAGTTCTTTTTAGCCGAGTCTAATATCCTGACTTTCAGTTTTTATCGGGGTCATTTTGTTGGGATTCTGCATTTTTCGGTAGTTTAAGGAAAAGGATGATGTTGTTTTCCCTCCCCTCTGAACGAGGAGCCCTGTGACGGGCAAACACGCCTTCTCACAGCTGTCGGAAATGATCAAAGAATGAAGTGACGATGGCACCCGGCGTGATTGGTCTCGTCTTCAGGGGATTTGATTCGCGTGTGTTTAATAACGAGGCTGACAGGTCAAAATATAGATGGGAGGAATCCATCCTAGTTTTGTCTCAGCAACGTCAAACTGAGTAATTATCCAACACGTCAAACAACCCAATGCACCCACTTCATGGAATGATGAAAACAATTCACACAGTGTCTGACAAGGAAAGTGAGATCGCTCGTTATGAGCGTTATTTAGCGATGTACATTAATTCAGACTTATTTTATGGACGAGTCGACGGACGCGTTTCCACGAGACCATCCGCCCCCCCATAAGACTCCGTTGGTACCGCTTTGTGTGAAGTTTGGACCTAATGTATGAAAACAAAGTCACCTGTTTTATTGATAAACCCAGTGACATCAATCTTTATTTTTATTCTCAATTTCACTATTTTTCTCCCTAATGCTTTATAACACATCGTATTAATCTATTAGATCTCTACCTCCAAATAGCACTGTTCTGTTAAACTCTGCTTGGATTCCGTTGGCGGTTTAGTTTTCACAGTGACGGGCGGAGAAGAGGAAGGAGGCAACGCTGCACATTGGCCTTTCTAATTAGTTCTCAGAGGAATCCCACCATTGATTGTTGCGAAGGCCCATCGATTTTTTTTTTAGCAGGGCTCTACATTTCTCGACGTTTGTGCTAAATGCCACAAGACTAATGGCGTCCGCATGTCAAGATGTCCCTGACATCACTTTGTCTTTTTGTGTCAAAAGTGGGCGCGTGCGTGCGTCTTTGTGCATATCAATGTGTGCATGCGTTAAATGAAAATGGCGCCGGGCAGCTGACAGATGGGAAAAGTTGCTGCATTCGTTTTGGTCCGCGCAGCCGAATCGAGCCGCATTGATCAGGCCGGGGGTGTGTGTGTGTGTGGGGGGGGGGGATTGGGGCGGGTGTGGGTGCTTACTCGCACGTCGGCGATAGCCAAAGGCTATTGGCAAAATGTTTGTTCTCATTGGATAAACTCACAAGACTTCCCTCCCTGTCACTATGTCACCAGGGCAGAAAGTGAGCCACAATTAATCGGCGGGCGGTCTTCGATATTTTTGATAACAAGACGTTATATGCGATGCCGAAGTCAGACCATATTTATTTATGAATGGAATGTTTAAATTGTACTGATGAAATGTCAAGTTCAATTGAATGCAGAGTGTAATTTGCTGGTTTGTCGCAACATCAAGAGCAAGTGGAATTAATTATCTGATGGGCTAAAAAAGGAAAATTAAAAGTAGAATCAAAGTGATAAAGCATTGTGGTACAACCTTACTGGAATAAAATGCAAATCCTATCAGTGCTTTTATTTTGAACTTTGAACTTTGCTTGCAAAGACAAAACAGTCTAATCTAAAAGTCTCTCTATTTTCTGTCCAAGGGCTCTGCTGTGCCTCAAACTGCTCCCTGCAGCAGATGCTTAATGTACATCATCCAGCCACACCTTATTTTGCGTATCTTTAATATAGAAATGGTCCCGACAGTTTAAATGAAGTGAGGACATTTGAACACGCAGCCAGCTGCTCACTACCTGCGTTTGAGCACCCGAGTATGACATTGGCGCCAGCGGGAACCTGATTATGTGAATCCCAAACAGGGTTGGATGTGACCCCGCGGGCCCCGTCCCCCCGAGTGTCGGGAGCCAGCTTGGCCGTATCCAGGATATTGGTTCCACTCCCTTGATTTTCCACATTAAGTTTGTGATGTGACAGGTATTTCCAGAGGTACACAGCATGCTCCCTGCTCGCCGGCTAACAGGCTCCTCGGTGGCGACCTCCGAACTCTCGGCGCGCAGTTAGCGACGGGTGTTTCAAAACTCGGAGGTGTCAATCTTGTTCCCTCGAACACACCCAGCCCGCTCGTAGTGATGCTTACCGGCGTCCATGCTGGTTTTATCACCACGTCCTCCGTATGTTTGAGAATGACAATGATGATGGTTGACCCCCGTGAGGATGTGTTAATTCCTCTCCCCCAGTGTGCCCCGGCCTTAGGATGCGACGTCTCAGCAAACGGCCTGCTTTAATGGGACTCTCCCTGTCATTGTTCCCGTGAGGGGCTTGAATAATGCAACACTCTGCCCTTAGCAGCCATTTGAATATATCTGTCTGGTCAGCAGAGAGAGAAAGTGACAGAGACACAGCGGCTCAGACACAGACAAAAGTACAGCAAGGCAAAGGGACAGGAGAGAAAGTTTGCGAGGCAGAGAGAGTGAGCGACGTATCAGGAGGCAGAGGGAAAGATGGATAGGAAGACTGATGGTGGGAGAGAGGGCAGGACAGAGCAGCATATATATTAGGCCTCCAAAGGATACCAAATGTGATATGCACGGGCAAGAAGACGGGCAGCCACGCAGCCATTTGTAATTCTCAGGGTTTCGCTTCTCCTCGTGCTTTTTTTTTTGTGCCGTGCACCCACAGCCCCCCGTCCTGACTAGCGAGCGGTTGGACACGTTTATTTTTAGTAGGCAGACAGACGGTGATGAATGGGGACGGTCCTCCATTGTGGAAGCAACAACATTGACTGTAGCAATAATGCTGTCACTACATCACACGGGGAAGAACAGAGCTTTGTTCGCTCAAAGTTTAGTTGAGATTCGCTGAGTTTGCTTGTGATGAGCCAAGTTGGCCAAAATTATGGCAGGAAACCAACTGGAGGAATCCGTTCTAACGCAGAAGAATCTAACGCCCTTTGTCACGGGGACATTCTCACGGATTCAAATATATATCGTTAAAATGATCATACTCTGAAACATTTGCTGTGTGTGAAATATGAGCTCAAGCTAAATAATATCCATTGCTATTTAGAAATACATTTGATTTATTATAACAGTTGAAGCTAAAATCCGTCTTCTTGCAAGTTCAGTGTGAATGTGGGAGATTTTGATTCTTTTCTCTACCGTGCAGTCCGTCCAATGCATCCTTTGTAAAAGTGGCATTAATTACATACCTGTGGCTTCAATTGCTTTTTAAACATTTCAGTTCATTAATTCATCTTTATTAGAATAATCCGCTTTACTGATGGTTATGGTGTCGAGGGACATGCAACAGTATTTTTATTTACGCAATCATTGTTCCCACACTTGGACTTCACTTAGGCCACCTAGCCACATTTGGCGACCTTTTTCCAGCAAACAGTATCTCCTTTTTCCACGACATATTAGCTCCTGGTGGACTTGTGGTGGTAGGACACCTGCGGGGGAGCAGATGGAGACCTCGAAGCGCAGCACCTTTCTCTTCTACTGGCCAAGCCTCGAGTCCTCGCTGCCTAACTGCACGCGGCTCGTCCCTCCGTTGGACGCACAGACTGCGAGGACACATGACGTATGCACGAGGTTCACTTCCATCCAGTAATTGTTTTTTCGAAAGAGCCGTCGTCTTATTTTTGTATTATTTCACACACCAGCGGCCCATCTGCTCCTGATCAGCAATGTGAATCTTCATGAGCGGGGCCTGTCTGATCCGCGTGTTTACCGTACATGTGCCACCGATAGCCGCAAACCGCACGTCACTGCGTGAAACGGGGCAGTGCAGCGTGGGTACGGAGGTAAATGCTGTACCGGGTCTGTGGGTCTAATAGTATAATATAATAATAGTTGATATCCAGCATAACTTTATTTTTGTTGGTTAAAATGTGCCACCGATAGAAAGCGTCCATAACTGACAGATGGCCCGGAGTCCGTTATGCACTCGGCACTACAGCAACGGCTCTCGTCTGTCTCAGCAATTTGATTGAGATTTTAAAAAGACATAAGTCAAAAAGCGCTTCTCAGCTGAGCGGTCAGAGGAGCACAGAATGTGATTTAAGCTTCCTTCTGGAGGGCAGAAAAACAAAGCAGCTGCAGCACAATCACTTACACTGTAAATCTTGCTAAAAGTGGGGACCTTACTGTAACTCCCATGCTGCACTCTGCTTTTACTTCCCATTGTACCTTCGTTAAAGAGCGCTCCTACGTCTCTTTGAGAATCGGCACTGCATTCCATCATCATCGCCCCATTGAATTCCTCCATCTCCATTTCAATCGACTGACATAAGAATATTTCCGCCTGTTGGATCGGCCTTTTTCTGCCACTCGGCCCCACTTTCTTCTTCTCTGCGTTTTTTTTTTTTTTTTCCCTCCCGTTCACTCATCCCCTCTTTTATTCCTCTAAGAGGACAAAGTCGAGTGGCCCAATAGCGTTTAATTGCTGTGGTTTTCATGTGGTCGGCCGAGAAGAAGTAATAGCCACTCAG